TGCTTTTAGTTCAGAGTGCAAAGATGTTTTGAATGCCCAGAGCATCACGAGTAATCTGCAAAACCTCAGGTCACAGCAGCTCGCAGCGTCCTCCCTGCTGATTGGGTCTAGTACTGTATGAATAATAATCACATCCTCTTTGTAGAAAAACAAACAAACCTCATAGTAAAGTATACAGACTGTATTCCACAGGCTTGAGTACATCAGTATCATTATCTTTATCACTCTCTGCAGTGAGGCCTCCATCTCTGTCTGACGCACCAGCTGATGAAGAGGCCGATCTCAAGTCCAACAGCAAATCAGAGGACGAGTCCAGTGATGACACATCAGTCTGACACCTGTAAGGTGTTTGCAGTCACCTAAATCCTGCTCGGCCACCTTTAAGGAGGCCGATCTCGTTCATACGGACAAAGACACACATGTAAATATCTTTCTTTGTGCGTGCAGTGGATGCTGCACTTTGTCATGCTGTTATCAGTATCAAAACAACGTGCACATCAAAACAACCCCACCACTGTTTCTGTCCGAAGCTCTAATAGGACCATAAAGAGCAGGAGGATGGGTTTTATCTGTGGCTGCTTAGATAAACGTACTCAGCAATAAAAAGCTCACTTAGTCCAAAGCACTGAGGAAAATGAGTCTGACTTGTTGTTTTTGTGCGACTGTAAGAAGGTCAAAGTCTAAAAAGACAAAAAAAAATAATTTTTCCTCCAAATCTTTCTTTATTATCTTTAAATCAGCAAATTCAAAGCAGCTGGAAAATTCTCAAACTCATTAGAAGATCAACAAACTTGTCAAAAAATTCTGTTCTGAATTTTCTGTCGCTCCGTTCTGACAGCGAGATAAATCATAAATCAACCTGCACATTGTGACAGTGATGTTTCCTCAAAGACACGCGTGTTTGAGAGCGAGTCCACTCCATGGACTTTGGGATGTTGGAGTAAGACAGGCAGCAGGAACAAACTGAACTCCGGCCGGGAACATTAAAAGCAGTGACTGGAGGTTGGGGATGCTTTATAGAAGCAACGTATTAGCTTGTGCCAAATGTAACAGATGTTGATTTATGTGTAAAAGTCCTAGACTCCAGCTCTAATGTCATAAAACAGAATTAAATATAAGGGTTAATGTCCACGAGATGATTCCTGCTGTTCCCAGGACAAAACACAGAGTGGAACGATTGTTAAACCAGAAACGATGAGGTGTATTTAATTAGAGCACCATCAGATTATCATTATTATTATTTATTTTTATTTTTTAATCAAGATCGAGATTTTAGCGACATAAACAGAGCGTCAGAGGAACAGTGAGACGATGCTGCGTTTATGTCGAGTGGACTGTAAATGCTGCTTTCATCCACGTTCACTTCCGACTGCAAACCTCCAATTAGAGCCTTCCAGTCACCGCGGGAAATGATACAGACGCCTCATTTCATCCACAGCTTGGCCTTCAGCCCAGTTGAACAGTGGGTTTGAACCCAGAAAAAACAGCTGCTACGCTCATTTTACGTGATGTGAACACAGCAAAAAAAACTCAGCAGGTGGAGACAGAGAGCAGCTCATGCTCCTTTTATTTATTTGCTCAAAGTCAGGCAAAAGTAAGCTAACAAAGAGGATGGTAATATTAAGATTTGAGATCCAAAATTTAAAGGAACAGTTCACCCCAAACTCACGTTTGCATGTTTTCCCCCACCCTGTATTTCTGGATTGTGTTGGCGTGGGTTCCCCGCTTTTAGTTATTTTGTTTCTCTTGATCATGAAGTGCACAGTAGTTCTTGAAGCACCTGAAAATACACCTGAAAACCTCTTTGCAGAAGTCACGACCCTGTTTCTCATGAAGTCCACAAACTTTGCTGTGAGCAGTTTCATGTGGGAACTATTTTCTTTCTACCAAACTACAACCATCTAACAGTCTGCTCGGGCAAACGAGCACGTACCCATGTTGGGACGCTGATTCCTGTTACAGGATGTAAACACTGACGAGTCCTCTTGAGCAGAGCTGTAATGTTGCCTGTCTGCATGCTTCTCTGGGCTGGTAGAGCTATGGTAGGAATAACAGTTCCCATGTGAAGCTGCTCTTTCCACGGCTCGTGGAGGGTTTTTTATAACGAGCCGGTCATGATGT